CAAAGCGCAGAGCAGTAAGCAAGAACGTCCGAATGGTAGCGAAGCCGGATGCGGAATAGGCATCTGATCTAAATCTTTTTAGTAAACATAAATCATAAATCATAAATCTATAGCAGATCAGCTGCTATAGGATGCTGATCTAAATCTTTTTAGTAAACATAAATAGGTTAAGTATATTTATGGTGGATTTATTTATTTTACTTATGCTATTGTATATTCCAAGTGTTTTTTGACATGAACAACATATTTTTCATTACATGTCATATGCATATACATATACGTACATATACATATTAGGGCTGTCAAATCGATTAATCATGATTATTCACATTCAAAATAAAAGTTTGTGTACTTACATTATATATGTATATAATAAATATACACACATATATGTATATATTTAAGAAGTATTTATGCACACACACACACACACACACACATATATATATATATATATATATACACACGTGTATATATACTGTATATATGGTTTATATTGTATATAAATATTTATAGTATATATGTCTCAAATAAATACATGCATGTGTGTGTATTTTTATAAACATGTATTATGTAAACACAAACTCTTTCAATCGTGATCAATCGATTTGACAGCCCTAATACATGTACATATATATCATGTCATATATACAAATATATAATAAGATAAGAGAGCAATGTATGTGTATACCTACCATATTTTGGGGACAAATTTGTACCTAGAAGTGAACTAAACCTGACAAAAGCCCCAAAACTCTCCTTTTGTGGACATCCCAAGTGCTTATTGACAAGTGCACAACATATCTATCATTAACATATGAATACATAGCATATATACACATATATACATTTAAACAGTATTGTTAGTAAATATCTACAGTAAGACAGAATAAGATGTGTATGTGTGTGTTTACGAATTTGGGATAAACTTCCTTTTGGGGATGTCTGTATGTAATAACGGTATCAAAATAAAGTATTTATTTTTGTATTTTTTAAATTGTAAAAATAATACAGAAAGTTTTCTGTTAGAGTGTGGGTTAGGGTTAGTTTACAGTATTTATAAATGTTTGTATATAAAAAACAATAGATATTCTATACAGTGTGTGTGTGTGTGTGTGTGTGTGTGTGTGTGTGT